CTGATTTTTGTAAAGAAGTGCCAAACATGGACTGCTTTGCTAGATACAAAGTCACCACTTAAATATTTATTTTGGGGAAATTTAGGAAACCCTAACTCGTGCCTAAGGCCATGTGTCCATCATCACCAAAGTTGCCTTGGCTCGGGAACTTGGGTACGATTGTGGAAGGTCATGCAATGAGCACCCCCGCTCGGCCGATCAAAGATCGGCCTATACTAAGCATGATATCTTGTTTTTGAAAACACATGCGTTCTTATTCCGGTTATTAGCTAGTATTACTAAGTGATGCGCACAACACACAAGTATAGACTAGATCGCCTAATTTGGAACAAAGCATTGCATATCCGTTTGTTTGGAAAATGATTTGAAGTTTGCTACTCGCAAGTAGGCTAAAATGCAGATTTGATGAATTGTTCCAATTCAAGTAATCCAACCTTCACCCATAGGCATTCAGGCAGTTATATCATATAATAAATTAGCTTCATGGCAAGCATGCTTTCTTGGCAATCGATAACACACATGCAGTATGCTAAAGCGTAAACACTCACAGTGTACTCCGAGCCAAAACATTAGCCAGTTAGTAATCATGCACGATCCTAACTATGTTCAAGATGGCTAATGCATCACATGCAAAATGAAAGTAGTAATTGGCTTGGCTTTTCTAAGATGGCATATGAGATGCAATAATTCGATACATGTATTCAAGTAGGAATTGAAATACGATGTAGTTAATATGATGCGCCGAACCCGATGCATGCGGTACAGATGAATGAATGCAAACATGCAAGCATAAGGATGCTAAATGAAATAATGCCCTAGAACTAACCACTGAAAGCAGGTAAGTAAAATGGAGAAAGAGGTGGGGGTTGGAAGACATGCATCACACACACGCACGCTTATTACATAATTGCGCCATCTCGACGGAGGGACGAAAGAATAATACAAATCATCTAATTAACTAACTAACAAGCTAATTAATTATTACACAACCCTTAACTAATTAAACAAATTAATTAAGCAATGAAAATAGTAAAACAGCCTCGGGAAGAGGGACGAATGCATGCTCGGTTGGCTTCACTCGGAAATCTATCGCCATGCCTCATGTTGCCTCTGTTTGCACAGCTCTGTACCTCTGAAAATTGTGCCAACTTCTGTGACACTGTTGAACCACCTCATGTACACTGTGGGAGGTCATCGACCAAAAGATAAGGATATCGGCCAAAGGAATGGTGTCATCGACCACTAATAAGGCTCTCGGCCAGGAATAGTTAGTCGATCGACACTGAATATGGTCAGTCGACCATTTCTTCCTGTAAACTGCTCCTGTTGCTGCAGCAGAGGACAAACAGAGCATGGCAATGCATTTACAAGACAATGTTTGCGCCACCACCCTCCCTCTCATGTCATGAGCTCAAGGGAGTATAGTCCTCGACCCTCGGACAATCAATCACGCATTTCAAGGCATGATGGCCAAAGGAGCCAAGTGTGCAATATCGAATGAAATGCACAAGACACATAAGGGGCCTCAACCTCTATCATGCTCGATCAAGAGGCAAGGGAATGCACACACAATGCAATGCAAACATGCAAACATGCAAACATGATGCGAACAACTCAAGCATGCAACAAGTATGCAACAAGATCATGCAATGCATCTAATATGCAATAGGTATACAACCTAAACATGTAAACATGCATGGCATGCAACAACATGTAAAATGAAGCAAGCATGCAACAACATGCAAGACAAGCATGCAATAACATGCAAAGATGGACTTAAACTAAAGTGGACAGCTCTTAAACATGCCCAAATCAGTGACCAAAGTTATAAATTTGAAGCATGAAAATGCAAAGAAAACATGCACATGTTAATGGTCCAACACCTAGGCATAGGAGGGCAGGTTTCAAGTGCACTTAAAAGGGGACAAATATGGACATGTGACAAACATGGTAAGCTGTGAAATCACACATGGAAAGGTGTCAAACCAACCAAACAAAGCAAGCAAATCATGCAAGAAGGCTTAAAACTTAAAACTAGCCAAGGGCATCAAACCATGGCCATGCAAGGCAAGCCCCAAAAGGCCAAGGGCACCCAAAATAGTCCCAAGGCAGGTCAAGATAGAGCTAAAAACATGCTCAAAACTAGCCAACACAAGCTAGAACACATCACCAAAAGCATGAGGCATGCAAGGCTACAAAAGGGGTGTTATGCTACACCTATTACAACCACACATGGCATGACTTAAACCAATAAAATCAGAGAGTTATGGCATGGTAAAACAAGACCAAAAAACCCACTTAGATAGCATCCAAATGACCTAAGCATGGAGGCATGCACAATGGTCCATTCATGAGGCATAAAACATCAACTCTTTAAAGCATTAAAGGGGTGATAAGTGCAAGTATATGAGCATACTATATGAACTTAAATAACATAACAAATGATGCCAAATCATTGAAATGAGCCAAGTAAAGCATGCTAGTGACTTAGACACTCAAAGCTAACAAGCTAGGATGCCTTAGGGCTATACAAAGCATGGCATATATGATCAAAACAACACAAAATAGAGTTGAAGCATAGTAAAACATGACTAAAAGTTCTTTTGAGTTGAGCCAAAATATACAAGCATGATGGTCTAAACACAAGATGCATGTTAAGGCAATAGAGAGGATTACAAGACAAGTACATGGTGCATGCAAGAAGCCATTAAACCAACCTTAAACAGAGGTATATCATAGCAAAATAACACCAAATACTTGCTGAAATGGAGCTAAAACAAGCTAAGCAAACATTCTACCAATATAAGCCATTTATACTAGCATACAAGACAACAAGGAGAGGGGATGACCCTCTCCTATTTAGGACTTCAAAACCACCTTTCCACCACAAAAAATCCTCTGGATTTTAGTGGTAGAAAGGTCATGCAAAGCCAAGAACAAGAGCCAAAAGGGATAGCCTAAAATAAGGCCAAACAAGGCCTAAGAGCGGGTAAACAATCCCAAACCAAAAAGTGACCTTAAACAAAGGTCTAAAGCAAGTAAAAATAGAACTTTTATTAGTTAAGAACTAAGCTTAAAAAAATAAGCAAGAAGGGCTAAAAGCTTAAGCAAAAATGGGGTATTAAAAGCATGTTTGCTCACCCTTGTAAAACCTCTTCAAGAACACCACTCCAGCAACTTTTCCAAGCTTAAACCACTCCAAGAACTCTGAAACTAACTCCCTAGTGCCTCAGCAACAAGAGGATGGTGTATTGCTAGGTGCTCTAGTGCAAAAGTATGACAAAATCACACTTTAAGGCACAAATACACACACAAATCAAGAGAGAGGGAGATATAGAGATAGATAGATACAACTTTTCTAACCCTATTTTTCAGAACCTCTGTGAAGGGAAGAGGAGCTCCCTTCTTATAGAATTCCAAATACTAAAGCTTCTTGGAGAAGCTAAGCCAAGGGGCAAATCCCTCTGTACATGTGTATGGAGGGGGCGGAATTGTGCATGCCAGCTGTGACAACTGGTATAAAATATCTACAAAAAGCAGATGAATAGGGTTCGGCCAGAAAACAAGGCCGATCGAACAACATAAGTTCCGATCAACCAAAAAAGTGCCGATCGGCCAACACTTTTGGCCAATGGCAAGAAAACAAGGCCGATGGCTTCATTCCTTGGCCGATGGGTTGAGGGGATGGCCAACAAGCCACCCTCTTCCCTCAAAAGCAAAAGCACAAGTGTTTCGCCCACAACCAAGCACAAAACAGACAAGTTAAGAGATCTTGAGGCAAGGCGCGCTACCAAGACCTCTGAGAACTCAAAATGAACACGAGCATGGATAATCATCAAGTGTTCAAACGATGACGTCCAAGTCTTGAGGACGGTAAAAACTGGGCAGTCTACACATACCTGACTTTAACTTCTTCACAGATAGAGAGCTTCATCTAATTGAGAAAAATTGCTAGAGTTGTAGTTCACATCCAGACTAGGCCCCTTTTTTGGGTGGATAAGTCATAAAATAAAAACAAAAAAACTTACACCACTACAAGAAGCATACCCCAGGCCCTAACCAAACTATACAAGAGACAAGACCACGAACAACAAAACAAAAGGCCAAAGCCAAACCAGATTAAAAAACTACCAACACATATCTAACTAGTCCGAAAGAAAATGCAAGAAGAAGTGTAGGGAGTTTTCTATCTGTGTAATGGTGATTGTTGGTTGCTGGGTTTGTCTTTTGTACAAGGTCCCTATTCATCATAGGATATGGCCTTTGTACAATTTGATTGGCTAAGCTTCTTTTTGGCTCTCCCCATTTTCGGATGTAGTTCCTAGGTTTGGTCTAGATCTTTGTTATATTTTCGGGCTTCGGTGTTTTGTGTGCTGAGGCTCGTGTTGTTTTCTGTTGTTAGGGCCTGGGGTATGCCCCTTGTATTTTTGTAAATTTTCTGTTTTATATTATTTCTTATTCACCCAAAAAAAAAGAAAAAGAAAATGCAAGAAGAAACAAACAAAACTAGAAACCCAATCAAAACAGCATAGTATCTGCCAATGTGTTCATGGGCCGCATGCAGGTTTGATGAGGGACATGAACACACCCATATGACAAAGTAGCAAATATCCGACAATAACAAACAGAATACCCCGTGCACATCCCGCACGGGTGGGCCATCTAACAAAACAAATTAAGTAAAATAGAATAAAATAACAGCTTTCTTCACACACAAAGGCGCCTTCAGCCACCATCAACACGATCATAGACAATTCCACAGCTTGCGCTAACCCAGGCTGAGCACCGAAACAGACAGCATCAACACGGGGGTACACTGATGCCACTCCATACATCCAAAACAATGATTAGACATTATAGTAAACCCTGTCAAGAGCAAATACCAAGACAGGATTAGCCAATCCACAAACCAATAGCACACATAAAACAAAGGCATATTGCTTGTTACAACACACATATAGATGCTCTCATCACTCAACCCACAAATATATATACTCTCATCACTCAAGAAACAATGCTCCGTACACCTGCAAAATAAAGATACATAGAATATATAAAAAAACATGTTAGCCCCTCTCAATATGGCTAGTGATTGTGGGTTAGGATTAATTTTGTTCCTTACACTATACTCAACCCTCATAAAATATGGCACACACTCAAACTGCTCCTTCCTAGTGGGCCGCAAACCTATATCAATAACAAACATTAGGAAACCCCACAATGTATTTGCTTTCCTTCACTCAACCCACATTTTGTGAACTCACATCCCTCACAGCAGGTTCGGCATGTTTCAGCACATCATGAGGAATTCTCCACGAACTCAAGTACCATCTATCAGTATGGTGTGAATTCAAATTTGTTATGTGCATAACCCTGAATCGAACCATGTCCATAATATGCTTTATGACCATTTCTTTAGGGACCATATCCTTACCAAAGACTCTATTATTCCTAGCAATCCATAACTGGTACACAGTACATGTAAAGGCAAGCTTGGTAATAATAGTCCCTAAAGATTTCCCTTTAACAGATGTTGCAATAAGCTGAACCAAATCACCCCAAGGAATTGATGGCCAATCAACATTCATCTTTCCTTTTATACAGGTCCACACTCTATCAGAGAATGGACACTCAAAGAAAAGATGGTTGTGATCTTCACAAAGGTGCTGGCAGAAGACACACTCACTAGCTTGGGTCACACCAAAAATTTTTAACCTATCACTAGTGTTCAATCTACAAAGTATAGCCATCCACACCACAAAGCTCACTTTGGAGATATTATGAGGCCCCCAAAGAAGCTTAGACCAGTTCACAGGAACAAAATGAGCCCTCAAAACATGCCAAGTGGACTGGATAGTGAATTTACCATTAGCAGCAGGGCTCCAACTCACATCATCATACCCACCCGAAGGGAGAAAAGTAGGAGGAGTACTAGAAATGAGGTCCATAATCTCCCACGAGGAAGGGAAAGGCCATTTCCAGGTAGTACATTCCACAATCTCACTAACCTTAGCATCAATACCCAAAGCAGAATCATGAACAATTCTGGGCCCAAATCTATCACACACATATCCCATAGCGTGCCAATTACCAAACCATAGAAAAACCCAAGAACCATCACCCACCCTATGCTTGATTGAAGGGTAAATGATAGACCTAACAGAAAGAATTTTCCTCCAAACCCAAGAGGGGTCATTTATCACCCTAACTCTCCAAAAACTTCTACCCTTGAGGATATAAGATTTAATCCAGAGACACCACATAGATTGGTCTCCCCCAGAAAAGAGGAACCAGACATGTTTAGCAATAGCAGCTTCGTTCCACACTTGGAGAGATTTAAACCCCAAGCCCCCTTCATTTTTAGGGGAACACATTCTATCCCAAGACACCTTAGCCCCATACTTCTTCAGATCACACCCAGACCAGAAAAAAGCTTGAAATAGACTCTTTATAGAACGGATGACCTTCTTAGGAAGAATAAACAGCGAAGTCCAATACACTTGCATAGAAAAAAGGACAGATTGGATCAACTGGCCTCTACCAGCATAAGTAAGGCACTTATTAGTCCAACTTTTAATTCTCTTTGTGATCCGCTCCACAAGCTAATCACAATCAGCAGCTTTGAGTTTAGTAGAGACTAAAGGAACCCCTAAGTACCTCATAGGCAAAGCACCTTCGCTGAAATTACACACCCGAAAATCTCATCCCTCAAGTTCTTATCACAACCCGAGAAGAAAATGTGGCTCTTATTAGGGCTAGGGGACAACCCAGATAAGTTTTCAAATTCCTCTAAGCTAGTTTTGATAGACTGGACAGTGAACACATCCCCCTTACAGAAGATCATCAAATCATCTGCAAAGCACAAATTAACTATCTTCGTTTTCTCACACCTCCATTGAAATTTGAAATCAGGGTGAGAGGCCTTCTCAGCCAAAATCCTGGAAAGGATCTCCATAACAATAACAAAAGGATAAGGAGACATGGGGTCTCCTTGCCTTAACCCTCTCTCCCCCCTGAAATAGCCATGCAGACACCCATTAATACAAATGGAATATGTAGGGCTAGTCATGCAGGCTTTTATCCAAAGAATAATATTAGGGGGAAACCCCATAGCATTTAAAACATCTAGAACAAAGTCCCATCTAACGTTATCATAAGCTTTCATAATATCCACTTTCATGGCACACCTAGGAGAAGGTGAAGACCTATGATAGCCCCTCATAAGCTCTTGTGAAAGAAAGATATTATCAGCAATTCTCCTCCCGGAGACAAAAGCTGATTGCACAGGATCAATGAGATCATGGAGAACAGTCTTAATCCTATCAGCAATGATCTTCAAAATACACTTATACAAAGTATTACAGCAAGAGATAGGACGAAATTCTCCCACTCTTTCAGCATTGGGGGTCTTAGGAATAAGAGCAATGGAGGTACTGTTCACTTCCTGAAGGAGCTCCCCCGAATTAAAAAAAGATTGGATAGCTTCAACAACCTCTCTCCCCACAATATCCCAAGCTTTCAGAAAGAAGCCAGCAGAATACCCATCAGGCCCAAGGGCCTTATTTGCTTTAAGGGAACGAAAAGCATCAGTGATCTCTTTCACAATAACTTCCCTAGCAAGGATATGATACTGAGCTTCAGACACTCTTTTGGTGACCAGATTACTAATCCTATCATACCCATTGTAATGGTCATTAAAAGGCTTCCCTTTTTTGTTACAAGTTAAAAGGCTTCCCAAATAAACTAGTGAAAGAGTCCATGAAGGATTTATGGACCTCATCACTTTTAGTCACTCTATCCCCATTAGGAAGGACAACACTATGAATCCGCCCCCTATTCACATTCCCCTTAACAGTTATAAAGAAGAATTTGGAATTCCTGTTCCCTAAACCTAACCATTGGACCCAGGATTTCTGATGAGCAAGGCTTTCCTCAGCTTTACTGAGATCCACATATCTACCATAGGCAGTCCTTTCCTCCTCCTGAAGAGTTAAGTTCATCGGATCTTTATCAAGCTTAATCTGAGAATTAAGTAACTGATCCTTTGCCACTCCCAACTCTGGTAGAAATCTCGTTGTACTCCTTTTTGTTCAAAGCTTTTAAAATAGGTTTTAGAGATTTAAGCTTTTGACAAACCCTAAATATAGGAGAGCCCCTGACATATTTTCTCCACACATCAGGCACTTTAGGAAGGAACTCAACATGGTCAGCCCAAAAATCAAAAAACTTAATAGGTTTATTAAGTTTAACAGCATCAGAACCAAAATGCACAATCACAGGAGAATGATCAGAGACTCCAGGAGGCAAAAAGAGAGCATGTGAGTTAGGATTAACAGTAAGCCACCTCTTATTAACAAGAACCCTATCAATTTTAGAGGTAATAAAATTACCACCCCCCCACTTATTAGACCAAGTAAATTGACACCCTTTATAACATAAGTCTTCCAACTCAGAATCCAAAATCAGATTATTGAAGGTACCATTTTCACTATTCCAACCCTCCTTACCCCCCATTTTTTCATACGAAAACCGAACAGCATTAAAATCACCAAGGAAGACAGAGGGATGACTAGCATGGTTGATAGCAATTTTTTTTAGATCACAAAAAAGAGGATGTCTCAACTCATGCTTATTTTCTGCATAAACAAAAGTAGCAAAAAAATTGAAGTCGCTTTCAAAAACAGTCACCTTAACAAAAATGAATTGGTTTGACTATTGAACCACCAAAATATCACAAAAGTTTGGGTCCTAACAAATCCAAATTCTAGCTGGCAGATCTGGTTGTGAGTTGGACAACAACTTCCACTTTCTAAAGCTTTGTTCAAAAAATTTTGCTTCATTTTCCAATTTAATTTTTGTCTCCAAAACTCCCATAATTTTAATATCTTCTTTTTTCACAAAATCAATGACTTCTTTATGTTTTGAAGGGTGGTTAAACCCTCTGACATTCCAACAAGAAAGATTTATAGACATGATTAACATAACAAAAATAGGGACATAACCAGATCACCACAAAAAAAAAAAAATCACTAATTTACCTCTTTTTCTTCTTCTGGCTTCCTGAGTTTCTGCCAGAGGACCTATTCTTGGTGGAACTACCCACATTTTTCCCACTATCTCCCTTTCCTCCCAGTATTTTCGATGAATTAGCTCTTACTGCCTCTTTTCCACCCTGCATTTCCAGGGAATATGCTCTTTCTGCCTCTGTTCCCCCATGCTCAATGCTGCTAATAATTTCTGCTGCTGCGGGGTGAATGAGCTCCACAACCTCAGAATGGAATGCAACTATCTGATCAGTAGCAATAGTAGCAATTTTTTCAATCTCAGAATGATCAGGCTGAATTTCAACCACCATATCATGCCCCTTTGATGTAGATGAGCTTGTCTCTTCAACCTGGACATTCTGAATAGGAAATAAATGGTCACCAATTTTCCTTTTACCCTTATCCTTAACATTTACCCAGCCCCCATCGGATTCAACCCTTTCTTCAGTATTCTTCTGTAATTCAACAAGTTTTTCCACTTGAGCAGAGAGGCAGGTCTTTGTGTCATGCCTAAACACATGACAATGCAGACATCTAGACGGAACACCTTGGTACTCCACATGGATAGTGATAGAGTCATCACTATTTGTAAGGGCAAAGCTATCAGGGAAAGCAGAATCTGCTGGAATGTCCACACATACTCTAGCAAAAGAGATACGGCTTCCTGACGATGTAAGTTGATCCATAAATAATGGGAACCCCACTGCACTAGCAACCCTGCTTAAACCATCCCCATCCTAGTATTCCAAAGGCACATTGAAGAATTTCATCCACACAGGAATAGTTTTCTTATCTTCCTTAGACAGTTTCATCATGCGATGCCACTGCTTAAGAATGAGAAGGAAACCTTCCACATACCACGGCCCCCCTTCTAACACATCAATACAATAGTCCCGATTTTCAAACATAAAAAATATAAAGCCATCATCATTCTTCTGAATCTCTACAAGCCCCTTGTTTTTCTACATATTGAGAGCATTATTCTTGATTAGGGTATACAGAAGGTTTTTATCAATGAAGTACCCAACCAAACAAGCTTCCTATTTAACCATGGGGGAAGAAGGTGTCATTTCAACAATAATTTTATCTTTATCCATTTTAGGAGGATAATATTTGAGACTAACCTCTGACCTGACTGAGGCAGAGACCACATTTGCCCACGATCTCCCCTCAGTAGCTCTGTTCTGCCCTCTACCTCCACGGCCACCCCGGTAGTTGGTATTTGCCCCACGACCCCGATGTTGAAACCCACCACGGGAGTTACCCTTAGATCCCCTAAGGTTCGAACCTGATTCGTCTAACCCAAGATCATGTTGACTTGCGATCTCTCTAGATCTTCCCTCGACACCAACATCAAGATCCAGATCTTGTGAACCCAGATCAAGAATCTCCATATCTTTTGAAACAACAGGGGGGATCGATGATTTCTCAATCGAAACACCCGTAGATGTGAGTTGATGCGCAAGAACATGGTTTTTGGCAACCTCGACACTATCTGGGAGATCTAGAAGCTTTGATCGTTGTTCTTCTTCAACCCTATCCGACCATTTAGCCCCTTGGGACAACGGTGTCGATACACCTGCAAGAGTGGATGTAGGATAAGGACGGCTAGTCTGGGTGTCCTCTTCCATAGTAGATCTCACCTTGATCGCTGCAAGCCGATCGAAAATCTCTTGGATAGATTTCGCCGTGACCCCTCGCTCTTTCTTCTCACTCTTACTTGCAAGCACCACAAGGGTTTCTAACTCTTCTCCAGATAACTGTAAACTCTTAGGGCTATGCGCACCAGAAGATCCACTCAAACCACTCAACTCATTTACTCTCTCTTCATTTAGTATACTCAATTTAATGTTACCCTCGGAACCCAAAGTACCAGATACCAAATCGTTTGTTTCCATTTCAGCAAATACCCCCGCAGTTCAATGAAGTATTGAATGCAAACCCTAGAAACGATGTTTCTAGAGAACAGGAGGAGCTTCTCACTCTAACCCATTTCCCTTGTAGACTAGGGCCCACCTGCAAGCGCACCAACCCACTAACTAGAAAGAGTAGTCGGTTGTACATAACAAACACAGCAACCATGGACTATAACATCCATGGCCGAACTTTGAGGATACACAGTCCGAACCTGTGCATAATCATAAACAAACCATCGGAGACAGACCCTCCACCGGAAACAGTACTCACTCACACTCAAATTTGTAACTTGTTACAATTTATGACAACAAACTCATTAGGACAGTATTTTTTCTCTTCATGAATGCTTATGCACTTTTTAACTACTCATAAATAAAAAAACCATTATATTAAAATTTTAAAAGTCCATTAAAAAAATAATTTTAGTAAAAAAACCAAAAAAATTATTATTGCAATAGTAAGAAAAAAAAATTCTAAAATATATTAATTTGCATAACAATTTTTTTCGTTAACAAAACCCTAAAGAAAAAGATTAATTGGTGGGTACTCTCGGTTCAACAAAGACATAATTAACTTCTCATTTTTCTCTCCTCCCCTTTATTTATTTATTTTTTTGGCACGATTAAATATTCTGACAGTTGTAAAGAATAAAATAAAAAGTCTCAAAATTGAAATAATAATAATAATAATAATAATAATAATAATAATAATAATAAAAATATAATAATAAATATAAAAATGAGGGTAGAAGAGATCGCATAAAAGAGTACAAGTTTATTGCATGTAATAGTTGTAGGGTAAAGTAACTACCTAAAGCTTCATGTTTCCTAATTCGAATTCAGTCTTAGTTTCCTATTCCATTATGACCTTGGATTCCCATACACACACTTTCATAACCTTATAAATATATGTTCATAAGCCTTCAATTCAAGCCATCTTTGAAGCCTTTCAATTTTATTATCAATGGCCAAGCATTCCAAGAAAATTAGAAGAGAAATTTCACAACCCAATTGGCCTAATCTTCCCAGTGGTATGTTGAATTTCATCCTAGATTGATTATGTTTCATTGACATGCTTCATTTCAGAGCTCTTTGTACTTCTTGGCGATCGATTGCCAAAACCCATATCTCATCTTCTTCATTACCACTCTACTCTTCAAACCTTCAACCTTCATATCTCCTGCCTCCTCAAGGCTATGTTGATCATAATGACCAAGATGGTTTTGATCACAGCCGTTGCTTCTTCAATCTTGCTGATAATCATCGAGCTCAACAATAAGCCAAAATCTTTAAGCTAGAGTCAATGTGTTGGATCATCACAATAGTGGTTGCTATTTTTGGATGAAAACAATACACCCTCCTATATCGCCAATCGCTTCTTTGATGTTAGTGTTCGACCCTCTTTTCATCGCATGCTTTCTTTCATTACCAAAGCTGTTCTCTAGAAAGACCGATTGTCAGTGACAACAACTATGGCATTGTGGCTATCTATGGCTTTAATTTCCAGTCAAATCTTACTTATTCTTAGTGTGGAGATTCTACTGTAATATCATATGTTGCAAAGATTTTGTATATGCATTAACCGATATAGGTTTTGTTGAAGCTTGGGATTTTAATTGTTCTGTCCCTAGAAAAATTGTGGACATTGAAGCTTATTTTCCTAAAGAAAAGGTTGAATTTGAAAAGTCTCTGAGTGATCTTTATTCTAGCCAATTTTACTGGGTGGAGTCACTAGGTGAGCACTTGCTTGTTATAAGGTATATTGGTGAGTTTGTTAGGTATGACAGTGAAGCTGTTCATGAGGCTGATTTTGATGATGGGTTGATTTATATCTATACATGACAAAGTTTTTTCAGGTTTACAAATTGGATTTCAAAAAGAAAAAATGGGAGAAACTAGGGTCGTTGGGTGATCAGATGTTGTTTTTAGGTGGAAATTAGTTTATATCACTATCAACTCAGGACTTTTGTGAGTATGAGGAGAATTCCATATACTTCACAGGCAACTCTAGGGATCGAATGGATGGGCATTACAAGTCTAGGGGTCATGATATGGGAATCTTCAACTTGGAAGATGGTTGTGTCAAACAGATTTTGGAATCGAAGATTTGTAGAGATTTCAACCACCACCTTTTTGGGTTGTTCCTACTAATTTACTAATTCAATGCAATGGCAGCCTTAAGATACAATGATTCAACGGCCAAAAAAGTTTGTCCCTCTGAGTTTGTATTTAGTTTTTCTATCATTAAATTTCATTAATTGTAAGCATAGGGTATGTTTAAAGGATTACAGCTTGAACTTTTGTTTTGCAAAATTGAAATAGGTTACCAATGGAAAGCAATCTAAAGTGTTTTTTCTAACTGTTTTTGCTTTTGTGCAGTGGAAAGTGAAGCTAATTGAGTGCCTAAATTGAGGGTTGAGTGTTGTGAGAATATATTCAAATTTGTCCTGTGAGAGAATCAAGTATGAAATGAAAATCTTATGTTTGAGCTAATGAATATATATATTGTACATTTGTATTTGTAGGCTAAGGATGCTATTATAGAGTGTTGTGAGTTCCTAAAGTGTGGGTTGAGTGATGTGAGACCATATATTGTGTGTTTTCTTTGCATGATACTATGTGGTTTCAATTATGAAATGCTGGATAACATTTGCACTTTCATTCTTTGGTGGCAGATTCTAATAAGAAACAACCAACTGGCCTCTGTTATGGATGAATCAGCTGTGTTGAACAACCATCACTGGGTGTTGAGTATTTTGATTCGAATGACCTATGCTATGATAAGAGTATTGGAGACCCAAAGACCAGGCTACATGTTGCCCCAGTCTACGTGGAAATTCTTTAAAGTGGAAATTCTCTGTATTTCATTTATGCATTGTAATAGTTTGTTTCCGTTAGTATGTACAGTCGATAATTGGCTGATGTTTTGGTGTGTTTTTCTACCTATCCCTGCGGGTTGTGTATCCAGGGAATATTATAGCTCTCTTTGGTTTTTATTTTTGTTTGGGCTACAAGCATTTGCCGCTACGGTATATTACTCAGATAAGGCTGCTTTGATGCTACAGAAGCTAGACCATGTAGGCACGCCTACTTGCAATTCTGCTGTTGTGGAAGAATAGTTTTAGAGCCGCCATCTTGTTGTCAAGGCTATGGTTCCAGGAACAAAATGTTCCTGCTTGTTTTTGTGCTGGCTGCTGCGGCTTGTTCATTCTCCCTATCTCTACTTATATATGGATAGTGAACGGGTCTTTTATGGCCCTAGTTTTTTGTCTTTCGGTTTTAGTCTTCTGGTTTTCTTCTGGTTTTGTGTAGTTGTAGCTTTGTTTTTATTTCGATTTGGTTCTCTTGTTTTAGTTGTGGTAGGGCCTGAGGCATTCCCCTTGTAATCTTGTAAATTTCCTTGTTTTATTTATGTCTTATTCACCCAAAAAAGAAATAGGTTACCAATTTTTGTTCACCTTGTAGAATTTAAAAACAGTTTCTAGATTATGTCAGAAAGAGAAAATTTGTTTCATGAATGCTCTGCCTGCCAATGCAACACAATGAAAATGGTTTGGTTCGATGAATGGGGATTCAAGCCTATTGTTTTATCAAATCATATTGGAAATTGGCCCTGTTTCGAGTAGTTTTTAGGAAACTATTCACATAATATTTGGTCACAAATGTGAAAAAAAATTTCGAGAATTTTATTTGCGTTGCTATTTATCAAATTTTTTTTTTTATTGTGCTAAATATTTATGTATTTCAAAAAGAAACTATCATTGCAAACGAGAGAGAGATCATAATTGATCTTTTTGATAACACTTCAAGAAGTCTTGTGTTCATCTGGAAATTTAGATGCAAATTCCATGCTTCTATTTATGGGAATAATGGTACCATTATGGATATTATGACCCAAAAATCGAATTGTAGTTTGGAAAAGTTACATTTTTGATGCAGAAACAACTAAGCCATTTTTTATAATAACATGCTTAAAAATGTTAAGATGTTTCATATGCTGGTCAATTGATGAAGAAATTATTAATACATCATAAATATAACAAATGGAAAATTGTGTATAGGGATTGAATGTATCATTCATAATATGCTGGAATTCAGACGGTGCATTTTTTTAACTAGATCTTTAATCTGAACTAATTCTTTGGTATAAGGTTCTGTAATGAACTCAAAAATAATCGGTTGATTATTTAAGGTTGTATGAATGCCTATGGAATCAATTTTAGTGATTGGCATTAATAAACACAGAAAAGGTGTTCCTAGCATAATAGCCTGGGACATATTCTTAACAAGAACAAAAGAAGTCGGAAGACATCAGGGTCGGAGAATTTCTGACAATATCTTCCTATCTCAAGAACTTATGAGGGCCACAGGCATTCCCCTACTTCGAAGTGTGCCATGAAGGTGGATATCATGAAAGCTTATGATAGTGTGAGATGGGATTTTATTCTTGATATTCTCAAGGCTATGGCCTTTCCTCCTGTCATGATTTCTTGGATCAAGGCCTGCATCACTAGCCCTTCCTTTTCAATTTTTTTTTTTTTGGGTGAATAACTTCCTTTTCAATTTGTATCAATGGTAGCCTTCATGGCTATTTTAAAGGAGCTAGAGGTCTTAGACAAGGTGACCCTATGTCCCTGTACTTATTTGTTTTGGCCATGGAAATCCTGGCCAAAATCTTGGCAGAGAAAGCTATGAACCCTCTTTTTAAGTTTCATTGGAAGTGCGACAAGACTAAAATCATTAATCTTTGCTTCGCTGATGATCTTATGATCTTTAGTAGGGGTGATGCCTCTATTGTTAAGCTCATTATGGAATGCCTTAAGGAGTTTTCATCCTTGTCTGGCCTAATTCCTAATCCCAGCAAAAGTAACATCTACTTTTCTGGTTGTGATATGGAGTTGAGAGCTGCTATTCTTGAGATTGCTAAGTTTAATGAAGGGACTCTTCCTGTTAGGTACCTACCTTGGTGTCCCCTTAATTACCACGAAGTTGAGGGCTGCTGATTGTGGTTCTCTCATTGATAGGATCACCAATAGAGTGAAGAGTTGGACCAATAGAGCTTTATCTTACGCTGGTAGAAGCCAGCTCATTCAATCCATTCTCTTTTCTATGCAAGTGTACTGGTCCTCCCTTTTCATTCTTCCCAAGAAGGTCATTAGGGAGATTGATAGTATTCTTAGAGCATTCCTTTGGTCTGGTACTGATCTTAAAACTCATAGTGCCAAAATTGCCTGGGATTTTGTGTGTGCTCCGAAAAATGAGGGAGGATTGGGCTTTAAATCTTTAGATATTTGGAATAGAGCGGCCATAGCTAAACACATTTGGTTTTTGTTTTCTGGGGGTGAGGGATCGATGTGGTGTCAGTGGGTCAAATCCTATTTATTAAAGGGGAAGAGTTTCTGGATAGTTAAGGTTCCTAATGATCCCTCTTGGGTGTGGAGAAAATTATTGTCTCTTAGGAAGTGGGTTTCCCCACTGATTAAGCATAAGATTGGGTGTGGGGACACCACTTTCCTTTGGTTTGATAATTGGCATCCCATTGGTCCTCTGTGGAACAAATTCGGGGATAGAATTATTTATGACTCTGCCCTTAACAGTGATACAAAAGTCAGTAAAATCATTGATGGGTCTTCTTGGAAGTGGCCTTTTCCCAACTCTTGGGAAATTCAGGAGCTAATCTCCTCTACTCCTGTGTGTTTTCATCCCAATCCTTCCAGCACTGATCAAGCTATTTGGAATCTTACCATTGATGGTAAGTTTTCCATTCAATCAGCTTGGAATCATTGGAGAAAGAAATTCGATAAAGTGGTTTGGCATAAACTTGTGTGGGGCCCTCACAGAATCCCTAAAGTCAGCTTCATTGTTTGGGTGGCTCTCCACAATAGACTTTCCACTAGTGATAGACTCCGTATGTTCGGCCTGTCCACTAGCTCTCAATGCCCCTTTTGCCTCCACCTGGAGGAAAGCCACTCTCATCTATTCTTTGAATGCATCTTCTCTAGTAGAGTCTAGAGTGCCATTGAAGTTGCTTGTAACATTAAGTGGCCTGTCCTTGGCTGGCCTGATAGTGTTACATTTGCTTCTAAGGAGACTAAAGGTAACTCTTTGAGGGTGAATATCATTAGTAATGCATTCTTGTGTTCTGTTTACATGATCTGGATTGAGAGAAATAACAGAATTTTTAACAAAGAGCTAAAACCTGAAGAGGTGGTCATTAAATCTGTTATCCATATGGTTAGAGATAGAATGCTGTCACTTAAGAATATTCCTAGATCCAATGGTGACAAATGGTTTCTTGATAAATGGAGTCTGCCGGAGACAATTTTGAAGCCCCATAGCATCAGAAATGGGAGGGTTGTTGAGTGATGTGAGTTCACTAAATGTGGGTCGAGAGATGGTGAGCTTAGCTTTATGTATTTATGCTTTTTTTCTTTTGCAGGTATATTCGGGTGTCCCAAGTGGATCTATCTATCCTTGAGGGTCGAGTGATGAAAGTTACTTTATATGTTCTCCAATTATTTGTGGGTCGAGTGATGTTAGCCATAAATTTTTTACTAATGACTATATATACTGTAAATTTTTATGTGCAGGTTAAGGAAGCTAATTTCGAGTGGTGTGAGCCCCTAAACTGTGGGCCGAGTGATGAGAGTTCCTACATTGAGTGTGCTGCTGCTATGTTTTGTCTTTGGTATCACTGGATGTACTCACTTCTGATTTCTTCTACAGGGTCTATTACAATGTTTGAGCTTTATGGTGGCTGCCTGGATAGGGATACGTGCTACGTGTCTGAAGGATGTGGCTGTTATGATATTCCTATGCTGGGCAGATTGGGCTGCTGTGGGTCCACTATAATGTTTTGAGTTCTATTGGGGCTGTATGGACTGTTGTGGGTTCGATGGCACTAAAGGGTGGTCGTGTTTTCTGGCACTTGATGATGGCTGCTTGTAGTGCCTTTGTGGATACTTGTCTTTCTTTTATTTTTATTTTATTGTACTGTGTATGGACTATGAGTGTTTTGCTAGGTTGTCACTCTTTTGGCCTAGCCGTGTGGGATGTACATGGTCTCTCATTTTGTGTCTGCTGCTAGTTGTAGCCGTTTATGGGTTGATTTCGTTCAGATTTGTTTCGCTGTTTGGATGTGTTCATGGTCCTCATTCGAATTTATGTGGCTCATGAACATATTTTGGGGGGGTTATAATTTTCCCATGTTTTGATTTCCTTTCTCCAGTTAAAGTCTTGTTTGTTTCTGGTCATGTTTTATTTTGGTTTTTGCTGGTTGAGTGTTTTCGCCTATTTCTTTTGTTCTTGTATAGTTTTCGTTAGGTCCTGGGGTATGCCCCTTGTAGCTGTGTAATCTCTGTTTTTTTATTTATGTCTTATTCACCCAAAAAAAAAAAAAATCATTAATCATAATTTATTTTATTTTATCCTAATTATGACATTTATGGCCTCATGGTTTACTGTGCTGGAGGATGAGGCCTAACAACCGTAGCCAAGAGGCAGATTTGTTCCTGGATTTGCAACTGGCCTTGGCTAGTTTGTCGATTAGTTTCTTCTAATTGCTGGAGACCCCAAGGGTCATTAGGCCAAATAGATAATAAGTTTTCTAAAAAATTATTTCTTCTTTCAATATGAAAAGCTAATAGATCATTTAATATAACAAAAGTATAAACAGACATACATCAAAAGAAGAGTAAGAAATACTTACAATCAGTACTGCAACTATTCTTTTATTATACTGCAAATGGTTGAAAGAAAATTACACACACTCAGAGAGAGGGAGAGAGTACAGACTTATAAACGGAGAAACTTCAAATATTCAAAAGCTTTTTTCTCAACAAGGGTAAGGCATCCCTTATATAATACAATAAAAGATAATGGGTAAGGATGAGCAAGACAAGTGGCATGTCCTGGTTGGCTTTGGAGTCGATCATCTTATCTTCTCGGGATTTCCTTATCTCTTGGTGTCGGTAGAGAGAGAGACAACTGATAGCCAGCTGTAATGATGGATGGACTAAATATCTACTTTAGCCGAAAGTAAATTTGTCGTGATATGGAGCTGGAAAGTGATGCTGGATTAATGGAGGACAAAGTGGCGCATTATTCCTCTTTTCCTTTTCCTTTCTTGTCTTTTTCTTGACTCATCTTGTCGGCAATCAATCCTGTGAGTGAGTCCCAAAAATCTCCCAAATTTGGATCGGCATCTGCTAGCTCTTGTGATTCACCTACCAGTATCGTAAACTCATTTTCATCCTCATAGGGATCACCATGACCTTCATCAGGATTGCCGTGACTGGTACCAGATTTCATGCTAGTATCATCACGGTTAAATGACTGGAGAAATTGTTCTTTCATGTAGTCCATGCTTTTGATGACTAATTCATGTTCTGAGAGTGCGGGATATTTTTGTCGCAATTCATTTTGAATTTGGACAAATGAATTCTGGATTATAGGTGCAGCTAGGATAAGCTTAGGAGTAGCATCCCAGCAGGCCTGAGTATGACCTTTAATTTTCTGGAGCAATTCTTGATGGGTTTTGGATCATCCATCTTATTCCACCACTTATAAAAGAAAACTCTTTTTAAACGAGGAATTTTATTATGAAAATCACATTGAAAATCCCACTTCCAAATCCAAGGGATTCCGAAGTGGATTACAAAATGAACGGTAGATTTGGACATAGATATGTCCTTATATCCTGGAAGGTGACTGTATGCAATTTGCCATTCTTTGAATGCATTGCGAACATCTTCTGGAAAAGCATCAATTTGAATGCCAAACGTATCCCACCAAACGAGAAACCAATTTGGGAGATCGTTTTGTAAAAGTTCGGGAAGGACACGGATGAACCAAGAATGGTTACGCGGGGGATTCATATAATAAAATGCTTGAGAAAAAGCAGTAATATAATCCCAATAGCTGTAACGAGATTCCTTATTGTGAATCTCAAGGGTACGGGTAACATGAGGATGCATGCCCCAAGCCGGCATCGGCAAGATCTGCGGGATAGTAGCTTTGCAGTAATTAATGGGACTTGATGTGCGATTGGGCTCAGCAAGAGTATGTTTGAAGTCGACAGAGGCAATATCAACAAGGATATGCTCATAAATGTATCTGTACTGATCAAAGTGAGGTAAAGAATGTTGAGTTGTCAAATACCTCCTTTTAATTTCCCATGGATCTTTCATCCACTAGATATCTGTATTTTCAATATAGAGGACTGTTCCCTCAGTAATGAAATTCTGGACATACGGTACTGGAGGAGCAATTTCTCTACTCCCTTTTATTTATTTATTTTTTTGGCAAGATTAAGTATTCTGACAGTTGTAAAGAATAAAATAAAAAGTCTCAAAATTGAAATAATAATAATGATAATAATAATAACAATAATAATAATAATAATAATAATAATAATAATAAATATAAAAATGAGGGTAGAAGAGATCGCAAAAAAGAGTACAAGTTTGTTGCATTTAACAGTTGTACGGTAAAGTAACTACCTAAAGCTTCATGTTTCCTAATTCGAATTCAGTCTTAGTTTCCTATTCCATTATGACCTTGGATTCCCATACACACACTTTCATAACCTTATAAATATATGTTCGTAAGCCTTCAATTCAAGCCATCTTTGAAGCCTTTCAATTTTGTTAACAATGGCCAAGCATTCCAAGAAAATTAGAAGAGAAATTCACAACCCAATTGGCCTAATCTGCCCAGTGATATGTTGGATTTCATCCTAGATCGATTTTGTTTCATTGACATGCTTCATTTCAGAGCTGTTTGTAGTTCTTGGCGATCGATTGCCAAAACCCGTATCTCATCTTCTTCATTACCACTCTACTCATCAAACCATCAACCTCCATATCTCTTGCCTCCTTAAGGCTATGTTGATGATAATGACCAAGATGGTTTTGATCACAGCCGTTGCTTCTTCAATCTTGCTGATAATCATCGAGCTCAAGAATAAACCAAAATCTTTAAGCCAGAAGCGATGTGTTGGATCATCACAAGAGTGGTTGCTATTTTTGGATGAAAACAATACACCCTCCTATATCGTCAATCCCTTCTTTGATGTTAGTGTTCGACCCTCTTTTCATCGCATGCTTTCTTTCATTACCAAAGCTGTTCTCTAGAAAGACCGATTGTCAGTGACAACAACTATGGCATTGTGGCTATCTATGGCTTTAATTTCCAGTCAAATCTTACTTATTCTTACTGTGGAGATTCTACTGTAATATCATATGTTGCAAAGATTATATATATGCATTAATCGATGTAGGTTTTGTTGAAGCTTGGGATTTTAATTGTTTTATCCCTAGAAAAATTATGGACATTGAAGCTTATTTTCCTGAAGAAAAGGTTGAATTTGAGAAGTCTCTGAGTGATCTTTATTCTAGCCAATTTTACTTGGTGGAGTCACTAGGTGAGCTCTTGCCTGTTATAAGGTATATTGGTGAGTTTGTTAGGTATGACAGTAAAGTTGTTCATGAGGTTGATTTTGATGATGGGTTGATTTATATCAATACATGACAAAGTTTTTTCAGGTTTACAAATTGGATTTCAAAAAGAAAAAATGGGAGAAACTGGGGTCGTTGGGTGATCGGATGTTGTTTTTAGGTGGAAATTAGTCTATATCACTATCAACTCAGGACTTTTGCTAGTATGAGGAGAATTCCATATACTTCACAGACGACTGTAGGGATCGAATGGATGAGCATTACGAGTCTAGGGGTCATGATATGGGAATCTTCAACTTGGAAGATGGTTGTGTCAAACAGATTATTGGAATCGAAGATTTGTAGAGATTTCAACCACCACCTTTTTGGGTTGTTCCTACTAATTTACTAAATCAGTGCAATGGCAGCCTTAAGATACAATGATTCAACGGCAAAAAAAGTTTGTCCCTCTGAATTTGTATTTAGTTTTTCTATCATTAAATTTCATTAATTGTAAGTCTAGGGTATGTTTAAAGGATTATAGCTTGAACTTTTGTTTTGAAAAATTGAAATAGGTTACCAATGGAAAGCAATCTAGAGTGTTTTTTCTAACTGTTTTTGCTTTCGTGCAGTGGAAAGTGAAGCTAATTGAGTGCCTAAATTGAGGGTTGGGTGTTTTGAGAATATATTCAAATTTGTCCTGTGAGACAATCAAGTGTGAAATGAAAATCTTATGTTTGAACTAATGAATATATATATTGTACATTTGTATTTGTAGGCTGAGGATGCTATTATAGAGTGTTGTGAGACCATATATTGTGTGTTTTCTTTGCATGATACTATGTGGTTTCAATTATGAAATGTTGGATAACATTTGCACTTTCATTCTTTGGTGGCAGATTCTAATAAGAAACAACCAACTGGCCTCCGTTATGGATGAATCAGCTGTGTTGAACAACCATCACCGGGTGTTGAGTATTTTGATTCGAATGACCTATGTTATGATAAGAGTATTGGAGACCCAAAGACCAGGCTGCATGTTGCGCCAGTCTACGTGGAAATTCTTCAAAGTGGAAATTCTCTGTATTTCATTTATGCATTGTAATAGTTTGTTTCCGTTAGTATGTACAGTCGATAATTGGCTGATGTTTTGGTGTGTTTTTCTACCTATCCCTGCGGGTTGTGTAGGGAATATTATAGCTCTCTTTGGTTTTTATTTTTGTTTGGGCTACAAGCATTTGCTGCTACGGTATATTACTCGGATAAGGCTGCTTTGATGCTACAGAAGCTAGACTATGTAGGCACGCCTACTTGCGATTCTGCTGTTGTGGAAGAATAGTTTTAGAGCCGTCATCTTGCTGTCAAGGGTATGGTTCCAGGAACAAAATGTTCCTGGTTGCTTTTGTGCTGGCTGCTACGGCTTG